CTTTCAGCTGTAGAGGACATTCACACCGCGGACAGACGCGAGAGCTGCTGCATCACACACACACACACACACACACACTCAGCTGCGTCTGAGAAATGTGTCATGCAAGCCGAAGGTCAAGACTTACTGGACGGCGTCAGACAGGCCCGGCTGGGAAAAGCAGCCGGACACTACGGAGCCCATGAGAGTCGGTCGGCGGCGCGTAGTGTGTCCTACCTCCAGATGCCAGACACTCGGCTCTGACCTGCATGCTAGGACACGGCGCTCTGTTTGTGCTTATTCATTATTGTAGCGAGTCTCATCACCACAGCTCTGGCGTCTCACTCCATCTGAGGGGGGCTGGGCCGAACACACGCTTGTGTGTGAATGGAGCTATGGCCTTTATTTACATCCATCATGCTCTGGGGCACGAGGCTGCGATGGAGCTATAAATAACAGCAGATGATGAGGAAATGTAGCGTGATGATTTCTGATGAGTGTGCGGGTAAGAATGCATGTTTACTGATTGCTATTGTTATGCTGTGGTAGACTGCGTTTCTCTAGGTGCATGTTAGACTCAATGGGCTTTACAAATTATATGTGACCCTGCACCACAAAACCAGTCTTAAGTCGCTGGGGTATATTTGTAGCAACAACCAAAAATGCATTGCATGGGTCAAAATGATCGATTGTTCTTTTATGCCAAAAATCATTAGGATATCAAGTAAAGATCGTGTTCCATGAAGATATTTTGTAAATTTCCTACCGTAAATATATCAAAACTTAATTTTCGCATTGCTAAGGACTTCATTTGGACAGCTTTAAAGGTGATTTTCTCAATATTTTTATTTTTTTGCACCCTCAGATTCCAGATTTTCAAATAGTTGTATCTCAGCCAAATATTGTCCTATCCTAACAAACCATACATCACTGGAAAGCTTATTTATTGTATAAATCTCAATTTTGAAAAATTTACCCTTATGAGTGGTTTTGTGGATCAGGGTCACATATTACATCCACTGGTTCCTCGAATTGCGCACATGAGAGGTCGAATGAATGCAGTCAGCAGCAGGTTTAATAAAGTGCTTCAAAAGCATTCACTCATCCATAAAACACAAGAGCTCCTTCAATTCTGTGCAGTTTAAACTCAGCTGATCTGTGTTTCGTCTTCTTCTGTACACACAAATCAGTTGTTTACAGGAATCACAACCATGTTGTACAAAAAATTTACTCCAAACCCATAAAAACTGAATCCACTTCAAATCCACATAGTGTTCACAGAACTAGTACAGCGTGACGTCACTCTCTTTTGGAAACTATCTTCTAGAAAATGACATAACAGGGGTTTGTGTCTGGACTCATTTGCTCGATTCATTGCGACACTGGTTTTTCTCCATACCCCGTCATTTCTCCCATCAGCCCTGCAGTCTCAGGGCAGTTAGATGCTTAAAAGTAACATCTTAACAGCATAAAGTTTTCAAACTAGGTTCCTGCAATTTGCATTAAGTTTATTTTGCGGTATGATTACAGGCTGATTGTACATTATCCCTCCGATTTTTATTATATTGATGCATTAAAAAATAAACTACTATTTGAAAGTATGGGAAAAGTTTTTAACTTTCGTTTGTTCAAAGAATACTGAATTCAATGTATCACGGTTTCCACAAAAATATTAAGCTGTTTTCAACATTGATAATTATAAGAAATGTTCCTTGACCATCAAATCAGCATATTAGAATGATTTCTGAAGGATCATGTGACACTTAAGATTCACATACATTTTTTTTTAATTGCAGTAATATTTCACAATATTACAGTTTTACTGTATTTTTGATCAAATAAATGCAGCTGTTGTGAGTACAAGAGACTTATTTTCGAAAACATTTATAAATCTTATTGACCCCACACTTTTACTGTATATAGCTACCCTATATTTTATGAAGGGAAGTCCTCCTGTGGGTCCTTCATATAAGCTTATTTCCACCACAGAAAAAATATATATTAAAAAGGTAATTGTGATTTCTTGTGTGAGTTTTTTTTTTCTCTCCAAATACATCTCGCAATCCAGACCTTTTTTCTCAGAAATCCAAATTCTTGAGAAAAAAGTCTGAATTATGAAATAAAAAGTTGCAATTACCTTTTTTTATATTTTTATTCCTTTGCAGAAATAGGATTGCATCGTCCTCGCATTTAAGAGCTTGAAAAGCCTTATCTTTAAAAAAATAACCAGCTCTAATAATAACTAATACATCTCTTGTTGATAATTTGCTAAACGGGTTAAACCACAGCGATCCACATTTCTTGTTTACATCCACAAGACAGCAAAACTTTACTATGATTTGTGAGTTTACTGCCGTATTTAAATGTGTTCGTCATGTCAAAACTTTGCAGTGTTTATATGCCCACAGAGGAAGCATAATCAGGTATAAAATAAAAAGTGTACTGAAACTGTGAACAATCAAATCAATATGAAAGTATCAACATCAGCAAAGTCACAAAGAGTATTTTTCATTTAAAAGCATGAGATGCAGTGGGATGGGAAAAAAACCACCATGAAGTCTCGAGACAAGTTTTTTAAAAGTTTTAATTTTACATGGCTTTCTAAACATGCTCTCTTGTGCGAGACGCGAGTGCAACGGTGATAGATGTCTTCTTCTTCTTGTTTTGTTTTATGGCGGGTGGCATCCAATGTTAAGGTGCATTACAGCCACCTGCTATACTGCAGTGTGGACTAACAGAAACTTGATTTATATTTTAAATTCGACAAATATTCAAAATTCAATTTTTATTTGACAGCCCTATAGCACTCTTGTCACTGGAAGTTTACAAATCTTACTGACTATAAATTAGGGATGCACAATATTATCGGACTGATATCGGAATCGGCCGATAATGGCTTTAAATGTAAATATCAGCATCGGCCCGATATGAAAAATTATGCCGATATGTCTTGCCGATAAGAGGATTAACTCACATGTGCTCAGGGTGTGCTAGCGATTAGATCATGTCAGCAGTGTGACTCATTCTTGAAGCAAAGTTTTGTCTGAATGATGATTAGAATGATGATCACTGTTTTGGATCGCACCAGCAGCGGCAGCCTCCCCCGGGTCCTAATGCCCGCTCAGTAAGGAGTTTTAATTCCGTAGGGGGCGCTGTTGGCCTACTTCTAATTAAATTAAAAGTAAAATAGCCTACACAAATAACATTTAGACTGTGTTTCTGATTAAAGAAAGCAGTAATTGATATCATAAAATAATGAGTATGTTTTGATTTAAAGGTCAGAAGCTATAGCTTAAATGAAAATAATATAAAAATCTTGCAAATTAAATAATTTTATATATACTGATTTATTCATTAATGTGTAATATGTTTTATCTTTTAAACAAATCATAAGCTCTAAAAGATTTCCAAAATGTTTACAACTCTTTTGCTTTAGACCAGGGCTGTCCAAACTCGGTCCTGGAGGGCCGGTGTCCTGCAGAGTTTAGCTCCAACTTGCCTCAACACACCTGACTGGAAGTTTCTATGCCTAGTAAGAGCTTGATTAGCTGGTTCAGGTGCTTGATTAAGGTTGGAGCTAAACTCTGCAGGACACTGGCCCTCCAGGACCGAGTTTGGACAGCCCTGCTTTAGACCATCTACAGATGTTAAATCGTAAAATAAAATGTTAGGGTTAACCTTTTCTGGGGAAAAAAAAAGCAGCGACTGATATAAAGTTTATTTATAGTTATTTTCAAAGGTTCAATGTACTGTCAAAAAAACTTCATTATTGTTATTTAATTCTAACAAATAAGTTCTTGTTAAAAACTAACCAAAATTAAAAATATTTTGCTTATAATTTCTGCACAGGAGAGACTTGGTGTTGTTTCCAAACAAAAGGAAATATATCGGTATCGGCCAAAATGAGTTGAAAAATATCGGCATATTGAATATCGGCAAAAATCCAATATCGTGCATCCCTGCTATAAATGTTCTCACCTTCACTTTAACTCCTTAAAGGGATGGTTCACCCAGAAACGACAATTCTGTCATCATTTACTCACCCTCCGCTCGTTCCAAACCTGTAGTTTCATTCTTCTGTTGAGCACGAAAGAAGATATTTTGAAGAATTAGGGCTAGCTGATGGTAGCCAATGACTTCTACAGTATTTTTTTCCCCATTCTATGGAAGTCAATGGTTACTGTCAACTTTTTGGTAACCCACATTCTTCAAAATATCTTCTTTTGTGCTCAACAGAAAAAAAAGAAACTCATACAGGTTTGGAACGAGCGGAGGGTGAGTAAATGATGACAGAATTGTCATTTTTGCATTGAACATCAACTCTTATTTATGAATTACAGTTATTGTCTAAATATCTAGAAAAATTCCGTTATTTTTCTATCATTGAGATACTAGATAATCAGTTTTGAACATAGTTTTTATTCATTTATATAGTTATTTTATTTCACTTTTATTTGTAGTTATTTTAGTAAATAATTTTACCTCAGATTATGTTTATTTCATGTATGAAACAAAAATGTTTTTAGGTTTAGTACAGGGACCAATTCTCACTATTAACTAGTTGTTTATTAGCATGCCTGTTATTAACATATTGGCTGTTAATAAAGCACATATTCTGCTTGACCATATTTTACATCTCTAATATACCCAATACCTAAACTTAACAACTACCTTACTAACTATTAATAAGCAGCTAATTAGGAGTTTATTGAGGCAAAAGTCATAGTTAATGGTTTGTTAATGGCGAGAATTGGACCTTAAAATAAAGTGTGACTTAATTTTATAACCCTGGTCTGAAAAAGTGCATGCAATGAAAAATACTTTTCAGCAGAGGGCGCCACATAATCAACTCAAGCCTCCATGTTTTCTCCTGTACACAAGCTCTTCAGCATAACAACATAACGAAACAGTGCTCAGCGCAAAGAATGTTACAATTTGTGCAACACTGCGTGCAATATCTGCAACCATGACAAAGAGCTGTCAGCCATTCTTTCAGCATACGTTGAACTGTGCGGTCTTACCTTAAACAGCCCTGCAGCCAGTCTCTGGGGTCTTTGTCGTTTAAGCCGTTTTCTAGAGCTGCTCCTGCGTCCTCGCGGCCCGCTGAGAGAAACGAAGAGGTCACCTCCAGAGCTGCCCTGCCGCTCTCCTTCGTGGCGGCGACGCTCAGCACCTCAGCGTCCGAGCTCAGGAACAGACTTCTGTCCTTGAGTCGCTGCTGAATCATGGGAGTGAGGGGGATGTCGAAGGCAAACGAGGCTCCTGGAGCGCTGTGAGAGCTGGGTTCAGGTGCAGGGTTGGACAGCGAGTCCATGCTACTGTAGAGAGTCCCCCGCAGACGCTCCGACTCCAGGATGATCTCAAACTGGCAGCTGAAGACATCTGTGGCGTCACTCTCACCTGCAGAACACCTGGAGCAGCCAGGCAGACAAACACATCTCACTGAACAGACGTGGACTTTAGGACATTCTGTCTTACGCCTACTTTAAAGTTCTTTTCCAAAGACACAGCTCAAGCATTTACTACAACATATGTTCATTTGACAACTTAGGCCATAAGAATAAACCTCACAAAATGAGCCTGGGTTAAGAATGAACCTCACAAAATGAGCCTGGTCACCAGAAAATTAAAAGAATAAAACAATAACTTAGGACCATTAATTTATGAATTCAGCACATTTCCTCTCAAACTATAGTTTCCATAATGCATTCAGACTTTCAAAGTCATTCTTATTACGATTTTTATTACTGGAATACAGTATTTTTATTAAAACAAACATAATTACAGATTGCTCATTCAAATAATGTAATCACATAAATACTTATCTAAGTACTTGATTGATTGATTGAATTACTACAATTTTTGGCTTGGTTATAGTAATGAAATGTTCGGTAACACTTTAGTATAGGGGCAGATTCTCACTATTAACGAGTTGCTTATTAGCATGCCTATTATTAACATATTGGCTGTTTATTAGTGCTTATAAAGCACATTCTTCATGACCATATTCTACATCCCTAATCATACCTAGTACCTAAACTTAACAACTACCTTACTAACTATTAATAAGCAGCTAATTAGGAGTTATTGAGGCAAAAGCCGTAGTTAATTGTTTGTTAATTGTGATATTTGGACATTAAAATAAAGTGTGACCGAATTTTCTTCTGTAATGAACAATTAATTACTATGAATAATATTATTCTGAATTATTATTATTATGATTATTAATTATTATGAAATAAACGATTATGAAAATAAAATAAACATAGTTTTCTTTCTGCAAAACATTATTTATGACCCGGATATGTTCTGGACAAATTCATGAGAGTCATCCACAGGAAGTTGAAAAAAATAACGCAATTCCATTATAGAACCACAAGCCTTGTTCCTCTTAGCAACTCAGAGTGAACACAACGCTTCCTCTATATTGTGCTTGATCATTTCTTACGAAGACCAGGCAGAAAGGGTAAAGGAAGTGAAACCGATAATCAGATGCATTAGAGAACTGAATATAAAAAGTAACTAGATTAGCTGATGAACAGCACACTTGAACTTAGCATTACATAAGGTGCTGCTGTGTATATCTCTCATTCTTGACAGCTTTTACTCACCTTACTGAGTTGCCTACATAGGCATCATAGGTGTGCCCCTGACATAACAGCTATTCATAAATAATGCTGGTAACACTTAGGGAACACACATGCAAGAGTTTTCCCTCAGTAAACTCCAAATTACTGCTTAAAAAATAGTAAGTAAAGTAGTTGTTGTGGTAGTTATCTATTGGGTAGGTTTAAGGGATCTAAAATATGGTCATGCAGAACAAGACATTAATATGTGCTTTATAAGTAAACAGCCAATATGCTAGTAATATACATGCTAATAAGCAACTAGTTAATAGTGAACAGTGTTCCCTAATCTAAAGTGTTAGCATTACTCTGCCTTCTATATTCTGGCAGTACTAAAATGCAATGCAACAGTCAGTCAGGAATAATTGTTCCAAGATGACAAATATATCAAGAAAAAATGCATATTATAAATATATTAATATTTTAATGTAATACTAAAAAACATCAAACATGCACATAGAGGATTTAAATCAGTCAGATTTAAAATGTTGTCTATGTAACAATGCAGAGCTAGTGTTACTAGAACATTTAAAAATGTTAAGTCCAAAATATTTACCAAATGTATAACAACAACTATAATTGCTATTAAACAGAGATAAGAAACACAATACTGATTATTTTAATGTTAATGTGTTTGATAACTAATAAGCAAAATCACTTTTTAATTGTTTTATTTTTGGATTTTTCCACATCATAGCCATTAAAAAAAAAACATATGCACCATTAAAATTGTATTAAAACATTTTAATTAATAAAATAATTATATAAATAGTTATATAAAAAATATTTATGAAAACAAAACAATTACTCATTATCATACCTAGTACCTAAACTTAACAACTACCTTACTAACTATTAATAAGCAGCTAATTAGGAGTTATTGAGGCAAAAGCCGTAGTTAATTGTTTGTTAATTGTGATATTTGGACATTAAAATAAAGTGTGACCGAATTTTCTTCTGTAATGAACAATTAATTACTATGAATAATATTATTCTGAATTATTATTATTATGATTATTAATTATTATGAAATAAACGATTATGAAAATAAAATAAACATAGTTTTCTTTCTGCAAAACATTATTTATGACCCGGATATGTTCTGGACAAATTCATGAGAGTCATCCACAGGAAGTTGAAAAAAATAACGCAATTCCATTATAGAACCACAAGCCTTGTTCCTCTTAGCAACTCAGAGTGAACACAACGCTTCCTCTATATTGTGCTTGATCATTTCTTACGAAGACCAGGCAGAAAGGGTAAAGGAAGTGAAACCGATAATCAGATGCATTAGAGAACTGAATATAAAAAGTAACTAGATTAGCTGATGAACAGCACACTTGAACTTAGCATTACATAAGGTGCTGCTGTGTATATCTCTCATTCTTGACAGCTTTTACTCACCTTACTGAGTTGCCTACATAGGCATCATAGGTGTGCCCCTGACATAACAGCTATTCATAAATAATGCTGGTAACACTTAGGGAACACACATGCAAGAGTTTTCCCTCAGTAAACTCCAAATTACTGCTTAAAAAATAGTAAGTAAAGTAGTTGTTGTGGTAGTTATCTATTGGGTAGGTTTAAGGGATCTAAAATATGGTCATGCAGAACAAGACATTAATATGTGCTTTATAAGTAAACAGCCAATATGCTAGTAATATACATGCTAATAAGCAACTAGTTAATAGTGAACAGTGTTCCCTAATCTAAAGTGTTAGCATTACTCTGCCTTCTATATTCTGGCAGTACTAAAATGCAATGCAACAGTCAGTCAGGAATAATTGTTCCAAGATGACAAATATATCAAGAAAAAATGCATATTATAAATATATTAATATTTTAATGTAATACTAAAAAACATCAAACATGCACATAGAGGATTTAAATCAGTCAGATTTAAAATGTTGTCTATGTAACAATGCAGAGCTAGTGTTACTAGAACATTTAAAAATGTTAAGTCCAAAATATTTACCAAATGTATAACAACAACTATAATTGCTATTAAACAGAGATAAGAAACACAATACTGATTATTTTAATGTTAATGTGTTTGATAACTAATAAGCAAAATCACTTTTTAATTGTTTTATTTTTGGATTTTTCCACATCATAGCCATTAAAAAAAAAACATATGCACCATTAAAATTGTATTAAAACATTTTAATTAATAAAATAATTATATAAATAGTTATATAAAAAATATTTATGAAAACAAAACAATTACTCATTGTTAATAATATTAATAATTATCAATAATATTGATTATAAAAATATAAGGAATTAATTTACCTGTGAACACCGTTGTTTCCTGTTGAACGAACACCAATTTAATGCCACTGGTGGGTGCTATTTTTTAGAATTTCTTTAAAAGTACAAAAGTATCATATAAAATAGCTTGCTCATGCCAAATAATGGTGTCTCTCTACTATCTAACAGGCTTTTGGCAAGTGAGGACTGCGATGCAGAGGTACTGTACCTGCCTGAGCCGTTCTCTGCTGGATTGTGATCGGGTCTCAGCACACGCCCCTGTGGCACTCCTGTGGCTTCTATATGCTGCGCGTCCGGAGTCACTTCCTCTTTCACGCTGCAGCTCTGGTACGTACTGTTTTGCATCTCTCCATTCACGAGGCTCTCCCTGCTCTCCACAAACCGCAGCTTCTTCGGCGGCTTGTCCCGCAGTTTGCCCCCCTCAAGAAAGCCACTGAAGATGCCCGGGATCTCGGTCAGAATTTGATTGGATTCCTCTAGAGACTCGTCCACCAGTTCTGCCGAGGGGTCGTCGTCTGTCCTACTGGGCGAGGGTGACCCGGCCCTCTTGCCCTCCATCTCCTTTCCAGCGTTTTCTCGGGAGGGCACCTCTGAGGGCTGCTCCCCATGTGCTGCAGCTGGAGTCGGGCTGGGGTCAGGTTTATTTTGGCAGGCCAGTGCATTCCTGGGGTCTCGACTGGGCCCAGAGCTGAAGCAGCTCAGCTCGTTTGCGGCCGCCATAACTGAGCTGGGGTCCTTTATGAGCGCCTCGCACCATGAATCAAACAGCAGGGAGTCTCCTGCTAACTCGGACTGGCCGTTCTGAACGTCCAGGCCCTGCTTGGCCATATCCAGCTGAGATGGCGGGGTTTTGTCTTGCCCGTTGCAAGGGATCATGGGTGAGGCGGCAGTGGCGTCTCCTGACGTCGAGTCCTGTCCGGACGCAGCATGATGACTCCGAGCGGTCAGGCCACTCAACAGGTTTGACAGCTCCCTGTCAATTTCCTGGAAGAGGGACGTCTCATCAATGTCATCGTCATCAAGAACAGACTCAAGACCTGAGCCGCTTCCCTGTTTCTCTTGGGTCGGAGGGGTGACTGGTTGACAAATCAAAAAATTAAGATTAGAGATCATTAAGTGCTAACTCAAAGAAAGTCAAGTGGAGCAAGACTGTCTGCCTCAAATAAAACCAACGGAAGGCAGGATGAACAACAAGAAAAAGAGAAACTTCCAAAGCAAAAACGCTATTGGTAGTAGATAACATTTCAGTTATACAAAACAAAAACAAACATTTTAGGGAAATGAAAAGCATCATCAAGTGGACACATCTGTATGTGTGTTTAGGCCACATGATATTTTACAACCTGAACTAACCTTTCCTTGTCATAAAAAGGTCAACTTATTTGATATATTGAGAGACTCAGTGACACAGTCATGATATCATGTCCTTTTTTTTTTTTTGCCATATTTTTGCATTTTGGTTACACCATGTGATTTTGATTTAACAGAAAAAAAAGTTTTTCATACATTAATGAGCAGTTTTTTCAAAGAACTAAGAATTAAAGATTATGCCAAACAACTTAAGTTTTTTTTTTCCAAATAATTTAAGGACATTTTTTCTTCATCATGATATCAGGACAATTATATAATCCTGAACTTTTTTTTTTTACTTTATGCTCTTTCAAAAATATAAAAACGAAATTAAAAACTTGCTCCTCAAAGAAATTGTGTATTCAAGCCACTCTATATGTGAATTTCATTTTTAATGCACCAGCTGAAATGAAAGTACTGGTCATCATGAAATGTGAGGGTCTGTAAAACATTAAGCATAAAGCAGATTAGTCATATTTGTTTAGAACTGTCCAAACTCTCTTCACCAGGTGGCAGCATTTGACTATGGTTGAAAATGTACTGTAAACAAAATTTGAACAAAAACACCAGGCTGCATCCCACTGCACTTACTATACAGTAGAGTATGTGAGATAAAGATTAGACATTTCGGCCACACACTGCCTTCATGTCAATTGACAAAATATCAAAGCAAAACAATTGACAAACAGAATTTTGTTAGGTTTGAAATGAAGAAAATTAAGACAAAAAAAAATGGACACTTAAATACATCTAAAATTTGTGTTAGTTAAAAAAATATAAATATTAAAAAAATCATGTGCAAATTGTAATGAAGCTAGAGGTTTGGGGTTATTAAATACTCGTGAATAAACAGATTCACAAATATAATCCATCCACAAATAAATAAAATCAGATCCACCAATGAATGTAAAGAGTTTCACAAAATCAAACTAATTTACTAAAAACTATACTGAGATTTGTAAATGTTTTTCTACACAAACTCAACTCTGTATAATTTGTGCAATGCTATTAGAGGACAGACAGACACACAGACAGGCAGGTAGACAGACAGACAGATAGGCAGACAGACAGAAAGAAAGACAGAAAGACAGGTAGACAGAAAGACAGACAGACAGACAGACAGACACAGACACAGACAGACACAGACAGACAGACAGACAGGCAGACAGGCAGACAGGCAGACAGACAGACAGACAGACAGGCAGGCAGGCAGGCAGGCAGGCAGGCAGG